TTTTTGTTTATAACAAAAAATTGGAATTGGATTTAAAAAAAGTTTTGTTAGCAGATGCGGAATCTTATTAGGAATTCGCAAAATTTGAAATCAGTCCGTTGAACGTATCCCGAGTTTTCATGCACACCGTGCACGAAAACATAACTCTGCAAATATTCGCATAACTTTGAAAAAAAAAATTTTTTAAGCTGAACATTTTTATTTAAGTATTTAATAATATTGTATTAATATTGTAAAAAAAGAAAAAAAGTTTTCATCAAATCGTTACGCTGCAAAAAATTTAGAAAATGTACTCAATTTTCGAAGATTCAAACGGGTATGCCCCCTTAAGCGGAATATATTTCCAATTACAATAAATAAACATACTTATTTATTTTTCTCAAACACACTATTTGACAAATCTACCAATTAAAATATCTATACAAAGAAATAACTTTTCGATTTTATTTAAGAGATTATTAAATAAGATTGATGCAACGAAAAGCAGAAAATACTGTACGCTGAGCAATCCGGCGATTATATTTACTCTGGTAATTATATCGCAGAAGCTGTGAGCTCGCGCGTAGAAATTAATTGCCGCACGTTACCGTAAGCCGAAGTACAATAATTCGTATCAGTGCACGGTCGTCGGTTCCCGTAGTTCTGCGCGTATCGGACCGCTATGACAGGTGGAGAACACATGGTCGATAGCAGTTATATGTCCCTTACGTTTGTAATAGCGATCCAGTACGGTGTGCGAGTACGCTATCGGACGGAGTATAGGCTTGGCTACCGTGAATGTACCGTATGTGTGAGCCACGCGCAATGCAGATTGTCGCAGTCAGTAGTTTACCGTAGTACACAGTCAGCCAGCCAGCCAGTGTAATCGAGTCGATAGAGTCGGTGTGCGCTGGAACGGTTCCGTGTCGGCGGCGCGATACGTTTGTTACGTTACATCTTCGCGTCATGGTATTAACGGACAACGGCGTTATATGAGGGCGCATCGCGGTAATGATATCTTCTGCTCGGTGAAATTGATCGCTCTCGAGGTAGCGCAGTTTCATATTAATATATACATAATTAATAATTTTCTCTACAATGGCACATGTCTGTAATTGTGCTGGAGAGTGTATAAGATCTATATTTATAATTTATAATTTATAATTTCTTTCTATATAGATTTTTAATTTTTGATATACGGAAATAAAAAATGACATATTTATATATATCCCGTCGTATATACAATATTTGGAATCATATTTAAGAAATTTCTAGGAAACTGGCATTTTGAAGAGAATCTTAGATTAATAATGCCAGCGTCGCTTAGCAGTAAATTTACTTAACTAAATTTTCTTTTACTCTCTATATTATAATTGGGATTATAATCTCTGAAAAGGCAACGAATTGCTAATCTAGATTAAATTAACTCAGGCCGTCGGTGCATCTCAATCTTCATATATAACTTGATAGAAAAAAAACTCATCTCGTAAAAAAAAAAAAAAAAAAAAAAAAAAAAAAAAAAAAAAAAAAAAAAAAAAAAAAAAAAAATCTTATTTATGGGAAATAGATATTGTAAAGAAACTTACCATCTTCATCCCTTTCGTCGTCACTAAGTTCTTGTCGTGTATGGAAAAAGAGATCAGGTATGAAATGCTTTAATAAAAGTTTTATCCGCTGCTTGTCTTCCTTATGGATACCGGTTTGCCGTTTAACATGATGAATTAAAAGATTAGCTGCATCGTCTAATACAGATTTATCTTTGTATGGTAGAATGAGGTGTGGACCACTATTTCCCTGACCATCACCATTACTGTCATCACCCTGTTCGTGTCTCTGTATAAGATATTAACACATTTAATAATGACAAAATTAAAGAGAGAATTATAAAATTATAGATAAAACTAAGATGAATATATACCAACCTCGTCATATATGGTTTCGATTTCATTGAACAAACTTTTAGACCTCAATGCTTTTACATCGTTTTGTTTAAAGTTAATTCCCTGGTGATCCAAGGATTTTAAGTAATATTTTTCGTTCTGTTCTCTCCAGATTTTATTGAAACCCTTTTGTGCCTCCCGCCATTCTTCCTCCTTAGCTTTCAACCGGCGGAGTACAATAGGCACGGCTATTTGAGGATTCTTTTTGAGACCTTCTATGATATCGTGAGATTTGTCGCCATATATCCTCTTTATCGCTCGTTGATGAATCGTCGGGGAAGAACCACCGAGACAGTCGTCAAGTTTATATTTCTGCGCTTCTTCTTGACTCATTCTATTCATCTTTTTATGAACGCCTTCGAGTACCCTAATTGTCGATGCGTTGGTTTCTATAACGACGTCCAATTCAAAACGTTCATCCTCGCAACGATATATGGATTCCTCGTATTGAGTTTTCCTGGACAAATAAATATATATAAATTTCGTAAATTATAACATCTATATAACTATTATTACAAAAATATTCAATTTCTCAGATAGATAGAACTTATCACTTACCTTGATGTTACAAATGTACTGTCCTCTGACCAAGTTGGAAACGAGACCCATGTATCGTTGAGAACTTCCTTACATAATTGCGTTCTGCCACCACATTTTGGTTGAATATACGACTTTGGCAATGCGCAATACGACGCTCCTAATCGTTTGCACGCTGCATAATCGATTTCTATCGCCAAGTCATTTTGCGGTCGTTCCTGATGGCTCCGTACAACACTGTTTGGGAAAGTCTCCACGCCTACTGCATTACCCGAGTTTGCCGTCGTAGTGGCGGACGAATCAGCTGGTAAATAACCAAGGAAATCTTTGAACCAACGTAAGAGTTCTGGGTAACGGCCAAGGAACGGTGTCACCAACAAAACAAGTTCCGATTTTGATACTATTTCTTGATTAAAAAGTACAAGGCATCGAAGAAAGTTCTCATAAACGTCTTGTGATCTGAGTGACTTTCGAACCTGAAAGAAATATTATCAATAATTTATTATAAATTCACTTAAAAAAATTTGCTCGCTTTTAAAGAAGACGTCAGAGTCAAAACTTAAAAAATATAAATATTTAAGATGCTGCTCACCTTGTCAAAGAACGCATAGTCGTTCAAAGTACCATATTTGCCAGCTTCCGCTATAGTAACGTCACGCATCGAAGCAACTTTAGGTTTCTTCAAAGGCGGCGGTCCATGTTGTACGTGATGAGAATTTCCGGCTGTTGCCGAAGTTGAAAATGATGGACTCCTTTTCAACTGTCCGGTACTATGCCCAGGTTTCTGACCGCTATTGATGTCTCGTACGTTCGATCTATCTCGTTCTCGTTCCCGTTCTCTATGATCTCGATTATCGCGTTCCAATCCGGCCGTACTGCTGGATTCTCGAAGATCTCTCGAAATAGTCCCAGAATTGTTGTAAGGTGTTTTGAGACCAATTGGTTTTTTAACAATCGCCGTATGATCGTTAATCGATGTTGTTTTGTTAGTCTGAAACATAGCAGACTAATACAAATCAGACTACTGTTTTGCAAAGACTATGCTGTTTTTTTTTCTTTTCTCTTTTATATATAATTGTTTGTAAACATTCAAACGAGGAAAAGATATATGTTTGAAACGAATGAATGTAAATAATGAAGATTACACATTTTATGAATATTATCTTCCATTTGCTCTTATATGCTAAATATATATATGTTATGAGATAATTAAATAATATTTCTGTCTTAGAATTATTATTCATTTGAAAGTTTACTTGTAATAGATGTTACTCTTTAAACAGATCGCGATTTTCTCGAAATCCCGAAAATCCAAAATTTTAAAATTATTAGTTTGTCCTATTGTAAATAGATGACTCACCAACGAACTTTGCTGATTAGTAGCATCTGGCAAAAATTGTCCAAACTCAGCAAGTAAGTCTTCTTGATTTTCAAATAATTTAGCCACTTGACTATAAACTTCTGCTTCTGTTAAATGTTTTGCTCCAGTTGTAGCGCCAGAACTCGTACCTCCCATATGTCCAGATTCCTTTAAGTTTCTCTGTTCTTTTTGATACGTATGTAATATCTCCAAGAAACGTTTGTATTTATCTGGTTGACCTTGGAAACGATTCTAGAAATAATTTTATATTATACATATATTCCATTGCTCTTTATTATTCTTTTTTGTAATCACTGTTATAATCCCTTACTTTGATTTTATTAACATAATTTATCGCATGGTTGAATTCTACTGGCTGACTTTGCTGTGTTTGTCCACCAGTTGATACACCATCTGCTTGACTTAAAGCTTGACTGACAGCTTGCGCTTGTGCAGTACTAACATGAGAATTATTATACACTGGTACCGGCGGTGGTGAAGGCGCGTGAACAGTTAAACTGTTAGTTGTAATACTGTTTGCTAAAGTATGGTGTATGTTGCCCGACCTAAGAACAATCGGAATCGCAGACACATGTATATCTTCTTTTTAGATCAATTTTCAAAAATTATTCTGGTTACATTTATATTATTACATAGAAAAAATTACATATATTTGGCAAAATACCTACCCTTGCATTATTTGTAAAACTGGGGGTGCTTTTGCGGGCTGCGTAGGTGGGCTAGCCACAGGAGGTGAACCAACATTGACTGTACAATGATGCTGAGATAACGTAGCTGTGTGCGTTGCTGTTGGACTGGGCATACTGACAGACACTTGAAAGGCATATCCTTGTTCGTTTGCTTGTACCTCTATTTTATAGCCTGGTGGGAGAAATGTATTGAAACCAACAATAAGCTCGGGATGTCCTTTGAATAGATGACTCACTCGGGTTATAACGCCCGGAGTATCTATACTTTGAGATTTAAATTCCTTCATGATATCCAAGAAATCATTGTACACCTATAAATAAAAATATTCATGTTAAAATAACACACATCAAGCATTTTTTCTTTATTTAAGCATGATTCATATAATGCTTCTTTTAGCAACTAGTATGTCTATTTAAAAGTATATTAAAAAGCTAGCAGCTGTAGAAAAATTAAATCCAATGAGAATTAATATGTAAAAGCTTGATAATGAAAAAAGCATATTAGTTTACTAGCATTTTCTTTTTTACTAACTGCTAATGCATTAAGTATGCAAAATTAAATTTTTATTATTCACCTGTGGTTGATCACTGAATTTATATTTGACTTGATCTAGGTAAGATAGCGCATCTTCCACTTTTAATCTCTGGAACTGGGATCCTCCTCCTGCTCCTCCTTGGTTGGAGCCAGGTGGAGTGGATGCCAGTGGTGTTACATTACCAGTATGCACCTGTATATATAATTACAGTTATACTTTCTTTAAAACTTTCTTATATTAGCCTAATGCTTAATAAAGATATTTACTTTTTTTTTCTATTCATTTTAAGGAAAACTTGGAAAACACAAACCTTATGCCTTATTGTCGATTGCTGTTGCGTATGTACTTGATTTTGTGATCCTGATGCAGGTTGTTGGGAAGCCATGGTATGACTATTGCCGCTACCTAATCCGCTATTCAAACCACTACTATTTATGTTGCTACTGCTACATGTAGAACTAAGTCCTCCCGTAGAACCACTCGCCTGCTATAAATATGACATTTGTGTAATATTTATTGCAATACTCTATCTATTATTGTTATACACACGCATAATGACTTACTTTGATGGGAGATGGTGCTGCCGTTGGCACAACAATTGCACCGGTATATTGCTGTTGAGCTTGGGCAGTACCAAATTGTATACTCCCTGGCATTTCTTTCGAAGCAACAGATCGAACTGCTTGACCAGGTACAACAACACCTATCCCACTGCTTGTATGATATTCTAAGCTACCTCCTCCACCACCTAAGCCGCTTCCCGCACTCACCGTTGAGTGCCTTGCTGGTGGTGATGTTACGTCGTCTAGTCCACGAATACGTTTCATTGCAAATCACATTGGAAGTGCTAAAAATAAAGATAATTCTAATAAATCTATTCTCTGTTTTCACTGCATCTAATATGCACATTACTATTAAATATTAAGGCATACATTTTTAATGAAAAATGTTTAGACAATTTATTTTAGAGTTTGGTTGATATATGCGATAGCAAATTTTCTGTTTAAAAGTTATTTATAAATATAAAAATGGAAAATTGCAAAATTATATATGGATTAATGGAAACAATATGTATGTAACACTAAAGACATATTGTGTGTTTGTCTCACAAAAATGATTAAACATAATTCTGCAAAAACAGTATCATATACCAATATTATTCATTTGTATATTTTATTTTGATACATGATACATGCTTATATTTTCATGTTTGAGTTATATTTATCAATTTTAATAAGATTTTCAGATGTTTGAAGCTAATAATTTTGTGACACACGTATTATTCTTTTATTTTATATATAAAATGTATTAAACATATATTAATAAAAATTTAAACTGCTTTTTCTATTTCCTACAAGTTATTATTTATTTATAAATCTAAATAAATCTCAATGAAATAAAATAACAACCACAATATCTAGATATCTTTAAATACTAAAAGTATTAATTTTAAGCAGATTAATGTTCACAGATAGAAAGCTTATATCACACATATTGCTTATAATTTCCAAAATACACACTTGAAAAATATATATGTCACATGTTTTATATATATCTTATACGTCCAATATATTTCAAAATTATGACATTGAGACATTTGAAATCATATGGCATCAGGCATCATCTGAGAAACAGTCCCTTTACTTTATCTATTTATATATTTCCAAGTAAATTAGTAAATTTGCAGGTAAAATTTGTGCGCGATTTTTTTAAAAATAATATTCTGTGTAAATCTTATGAGATAGATACAAATAAAAGAAAGTAACATGTGAAGATTATATCAAATTAAATTATGTAGAAGGTCTCAAAGATCTTAACGTTTCTCATGAGCAAAAGACTCTTGTTTTTTTTTTTTTTTTTTTTTTTTTTTTATCAGCCATTTCATTGTTTAATCATCTAATTGTTAATCTGTAAGTAATGCCGAGATTATATAGAGACTTTCTACATAACCTAACTTAACCTGACATAGTTTTAACAACTTTTTTCTTCTACTTTATCTCCTTAATTTTTATCCCATAACATTTATATAGAATATTTCTCAATTATGCACAAATTTATTCACTTAAAAACATATATAAGTATAAACAAAGGGAATTTAGATGGCACCATATGATTGAATCACTTTTTTCAAGTGTCTCAGTCATGATTATGAAACATTGAATATAAGATATATATACACGTGGCTTATTTTATTAGCGTATTTTAGAAATTATAAACCTATAATATATATACAATAAATTTTTTTTATCAGTGCACAATAATTTGGTCCAAATTAATGCTAGTATTCAAAGGTATCTAGGTAACTATTTTACGCCTCTCAGGCTCATTGACAATTCAAAATAAATATGATTCATAGGAAATGTCGAAAGGTATATTGTCATCGTGGCAAAGAGAGATCGTTAAACAGCGATACATCTCGCGCGTTCGAAAACGAAAGCGAAAATTAATCGCGTTAAAAGCGGAGAACAAACGAGACGCGCGAGCCACTTCGAGAGAGGCGCGTTATAAAAATAAATTATAAACTCGCGTTAGAGCTCTACGAGAGAGACACGATCGACCCCCAGCTGCAAGAGTTCTCGACGCGACCTTGCGCGCATACGTGGAAAAAAATTGGCGTCGAACAAATCTGTTCCGGACATTGTGGCCGCGTGCGAAGTATCTCTCGTGTCTCTCTCTCTCTCTTTCTCTTTCTCTTTCTCCATCCGTACCAATTTCCATCTGAGAAAACGTCCTGCGTCCCTATCTCCTACGTAGTTTCGTCGCAGAAGCGCGACGACGGGCACGACGAGGTAACGGAGATGGTGGTGGCGTCGAGATACGTCCCTTGACGCGAGTATAGTGCACTGGCGTCGCCGAGTCAAGAGCCGAGAGCTCTCCTCTCTATCCAGCTCCCCCGAAACTTTCGATCGCGGCGTCGGCGGCGGCGGCCGGGTTGCTTGGAGATTCCTGCTGCGTATGCACGCGCGAAACTTGCGCCGGTATAGAGTCAACCAACCCGCACTTCTCCTCCTCCACCGTCACCGTCCCTCAGGGGGGCACCGTCCCCCGGAATCGCGGAAAATTTGTTAAAGGCGAGTATAAACGAAAGCGAGGATATTTGGTCGGTGGCGCGCGCGCGCGCGCGCGTTTTTCCCAAACACACTAGCCGGCCCCCTGTACGTTACGCAATATTCTACGTAAATACATAACGCATTCCCCGCGCGCGAGCGGGCTCCGCGACAAGTAATGTAACGTTCGCGCCGCGTGCGGTCACTCGGTCCGCCACCGCTAAAAGGAGCCTCCTCTCTCGCGGGCTCACCTCCTCGCGCACCCTCCTCGCGGTTAGCCGTATCACCAGTAGTTCCTTCCCTCGCAGTCGAGCCTCTGTCGACGGCGTATAATCGACCCTTACATACACCACAAAAGCTCTCCTTCTCTATCTTTCTCGTCGCCTCTCTCCGTCTCTCACGCGCACATACACGTACTACACATACACCGTCTCCACCTCTCTCTGTTTCTCTTCCGTTCGCGCGTTCGCGCTCCCTCTGTTTCACACACTGTCTCGCTCTCTCTCTCTCTCTCTTTCTCTGTCTCTCTCTTACTTTCTCGTTCTCTTTCTCCACATACAACACTCGGATCCTCCTCCTCCTCCTCCTCCTCCTCCTCCTCCTCCTTCGCCCCTTCGCGCAATTTTTATACGTGTTCCGCGCCTCTTCGTCTTTTTCTCTCTTCCTCGATTCCTCGTCTTTTCACCAACCAAAAAATCAACGAAGCCTTAACGGGCCGGTTGGTCCGGTCGTCCGTAGATAGGTAGATAGGTAGATAGGTACGGAATTCACTGTGTGCTCCCGCTACCGCGGATATGCGCGCGCGGGAGATCACTTCTCAGCAAAATCGGCGAAATCTCGTCGTGTGGGTAAACAAACGCGGGATAATGGGCATCTTTGGCGCGGGCACGGGGCACGCATCGCACCGGGTGGCTCTCTTCTCTCACACTCTCTCTCCTCTCTCGTTCCTCAATTTCCTCACCGCACTTTTTTTCTCCGCTCGCGAGTCGACGCGTATACGCGAAATCGCCGAACCGCGCATCCGCACTCCCTCACCACGGTACAAGGCAAACTATTGGATTTCGCGTGATGGCAAACAAGGAACCGCTGGTCGCGTAGCGGGACGGGACACGGGACACGGGACGACGACGACGACGACGACGACTACGACGGACGGCGAACGGCGGCGAGCGACGACGACGGGGTGGGGGTAGATGCTGCGCAGGAGCGTATTGGCGCGAGCGGCGCGGCGTCTCTGTTACCAACCACTTGGGCGCTGCTGCCGGCTCTTAGCGCCTCCCATCGCACGACGGCGTCATCCGTTGTGGCTTGCGCGCTTGTGGCGCGACGAGCGGCGCACGTATGTCGCCTTGTGCCTTGTACGTTACGTATGTGTGCGTGTATGTATGACTATACTACTACGCGAGGAGGCCCGGGAGAGAAGGCTCCCGCTCCCGTCGCCAGAAGCGGCATCGGGCGTCGATCCGAGCAAACCGTCCGTGTCTAAAGGACACGAATTAAAAACGCGAAGACGCGCGCGCGCGCGCGCGCGCTTGTGTAATGAGGACCACGCGAGTCCGCCCGATATCCAAAGCACGCGCCTTTTTTATTAACTCCTTTGTCGGCGGAGTCCTTTGAAGATAATAAAGAGACGGAATAATGTTGCTTGATTAGACCGCGGTTAGATATTCCTATAAATATGGTGGATTCGTATTCATGAATATCGTGCGACTATTGGTTCTTTTTAAATGCACGTCATCGTCAGGCAATATCTTTAATTGGATGAATAAAAATTTGCATTGCAAAGTGATATGTCAAAGTACATATAATTACTTTTGAGCGAGTCACGCTTTAGCATTCGACTTGTCTTTCATCGCGTGTCTCTTACTCTGAACCTATTGTTGATTATTATCGAATTAATTCGTTTCCGCGACAACGGGTGCCTAAAACATACGGCGGATACGTACGGCCCTGAAGCCGCCATTGTTGCGTCAAGCCGCCAAGAGGCGCGCGCAGCTCGTCGAGTATATACATGTATATACTACGTGCATTTTTCCCCCGCGCGTCCGGCCGACGTCTCGGAGCCAACAGCTGTTCCAAGAGACGAGCGAACCCCCCATCGTAATCTGGGTCACGGGTACTGCGCAAAATGGCCCACCGATGCGACAGGATCGCGCCGTTCGTCGGACGAAGCGTCGCCGACTCGGCGATTTTGGACGCGCGCCGCGGCACGCGAGACGTCGCCGAGTCCTGTCGCACACGCCGAAATTCGCCATAGCGAGTGCACTACGCGCCGCAACTGTTCCACGGCTATCTGTCATAGAGCTTGACTGGTCACCGACCGGAGAGAGCCACGCGTGGATTGGTCAGCGGACCTCGCGCGCGCGCGAGTCTCGATCTTACGATGATGAACGGGCGGCTTGCTCGTGTCACGCGCGCGCGAGAGAGAGAAAGAGAGAGAGAGAGAGAGAGAGAGAGAGACGAATGGTGACATTATCGTTCGATCTCGTCAAGATATATTATAATGTTCTCGAGACGAAAATTGGGAGATATGGAATAAAGTATTCAAAGTTTCTATTTTTTTCTTTTATATATATATATATATATATATGGTACTTTGCCATGTGACGTATGCACGAGTCGATCTGCGAACCGTCCGCATGGCGTGGCCTGTTTGCAAGTAACTGAAGCATTCTCATTTCTGGACAAATTTAACAAGTCATTTATTTAGTCGGGAATGCTAATAAATGTCAGCATATTTCTATCCAAATTTTCGAATTGCATCATTCCTTGCAGATGGAAATAAAGCTTGGAAAAGCTTTATTTGGAATGAGAGAATAAAATAATTAATCTAACAAAAAGACGCAAATATTCTTAAAAAGTTGAAAATCAATATAATAAAAGTTGCATAATAATATGCAATACGAATTGCAACGAATTATTCCATAAAAATGATCAAAAACGTTGTGGTGGGCATATCAGGTGGCGTTGATAGCGCCGTGACGGCTCTTTTACTTAAAAATAAAGGTAAAAAAATTAAAATATTTATAAAATTTTATTCATTCCTTTTATATACTTATTAAAAAAGTACACCTTTTCAAGGATTTAATGTCACTGGAATATTTATGAAGAATTGGGACATTAGAGATGAAACAGGAAAGTGTGCAGTTGAGAAAGATTACGAAGATGCTCGATGGATTTGCAATAAACTAAAGATTCCTTTAATACAAATTGATTTTGTGAAGGAATATTGGAACGAAGTTTTTTTTTTTTTTTTTTTTTTTTTTTTTTTACAATGACTAATATAGATAACAATCTTTAATTGCCTCTCATTTTTTCAGCGATCTTATAGAAAAGTATCAGACTGGATATACTCCGAATCCAGATATTTTGTGCAACAAGAACATAAAGTTTAATAAATTTTTTGATGTTGCATTTAATAGATTTCAAGCAGATGCAATTGCGACAGGTCATTACGCTAATACAAGCTTTGGACCTTATTTGGAAAACTATAAAGAAGATACTAGCAAGTATCCTCTATGTTAAAAAAATATTTTTTTCTAATCAAATATTTCTTAATGCAATTGTAATATTTCTATAGATGTACACTTATTACAAGCACACGACAATAGTAAAGACCAAACATTTTTTTTAAATCAAATACCGCAGCAAACCTTAAGACGTTGCATGTTTCCTCTTGGAAATTATCTGAAAAATCATGTAAAGACGATTGCTAAAGAAGCAGGCTTGCACAAGATAGCACAGAAAAAGGAGAGCATGGGTATCTGCTTTGTGGGCAAACGTGAGTTTCAAGATTTTATTTCAGAGGTAAAAGAGGATATGTTTGTCATCAAGCAGTGTATATATTGTACATCAATTCTAGTAAGATTTACTAATAATAATTTTGTAATGGCTACAGTATATAGATGATAAACCTGGTGAACATGTAGACCTAGACAGTGGACTGTCGATAGGCAAACACAATGGTATTCATAAATTGACAATAGGACAAAGATGTAGAATCGGCGGTGGCAGCAAGGCTTATTATGTGTTTAACAAGGATCAGAACACAAATACCATTTTAGCGGTATGCAATATAATAAATAAAAAAAATCATGATTTTTTTTAAGATAAATTAAAACTTCTTAATCATATGTATAATCTTTACAATACAGGTGGACAGTACAATCCATCCAGCATTGTACACTGACTTTCTGATAACACGGGACGTTCATTGGATCAGTGAGGAGCCACGCGAATTAAGATGCAGCGGTGTTTTGAATTGTGACTTTCGCTTCCAGCATAGGAATCCGTTAATCTCTTGCAATGTGTACAAAATATCCGACAATCGGCTATTTATCCGTCTTAGCGTACCTTTACGAGCGATTACAAAGGGGCAGGTAATTTATAGTATATAATTACAAAATGTACAGTCGATTTCTTCTATTTTATAAAATCAATCAAATTAGACAGTTTCTCTATTTTAAGAAATTCTTCGTCTCTCTAGTCTTTTATTCTAATGGTACATGCACAAAATACGTGCGCTAACGTAATCATGTGATTATGTGCGAAAGTGAATAGTAAAAAAGTAGCACAAGAAGAGAATTTTAGTTTAAAGAGAAACACCTCCTGACTTAGAATAGAGAAAATTAATTGTACCTCTCTATCCTCTCTTTCTATCTTTCTTTCCCTCAAATTATCATAAAAAGATAATTATATTTATTAACATGTTTGATTTAAAGAAATTAAAATATAATGTACTGTTATATGGCTTCTGTTATTGCTTTGAATTATACATGTAAGTTTATGACAGATCGTATATAGGTCAATTTATATGAATTTCAGTATGCTGTTTTATATTCTGGAGAGGAATGTTTGGGTGGTTCAATGATATCATATTCAGGACCATCTTATTTCGCGCTTAATCGGCAAAATTCTATAAGCGAAACTCGTTTCTATAATTTGATAGCATTAACTTCAAATGTACAAATGTAAATATTTATAAACTTCAAAAAAAATAAAATCTATTTGTAAAAACCATTTAAAAAGATTTACTTATATTGATAACATGTTTATACACATCACTATCCTGATTTAATATGGTTTAATCTTGATTTAATATAGGTTTTTTCATGCATATACTAATTTGTATTATTGAATGATCTAAATTTTATATATACGTATGATTCTCGCGCGTTTTTATAACTATTTTATGCAGATGCTCCCCAGATAAATTAAAAAAAAATTTTACTGTATAATATATTACATGTGTGATTTTCAGAAATATATTGAATTTAATATATTATAAAAAAACCGATTAAAATATAAACATCTCATGTACGAGCAAACATGCAAGCGAGCTCATCAAATCGTAATTAATTGTGAGTACAGGTGTGAAAGAGAGCAATATAGATAAAGACATGTTTTTAAAATTATGTCAAGTGATGAGAGACAACTATTTAAGTCGAAGGACAAGATAGCGGGAACGCGCGCACACGCATGCACGCATACCGTGATAAATTCCGCGTGTACGTATGCGTAAAATCAGGTTTTGGCGTTTCGAAAACGTCAGCGGCGCGGGGCGGTTATAATCGATTGTTTCGAGAATACTCCGACTCGATTCTCCGATATGCCGCTAAGCGCTAAGCTCGTAGCACATAGTTGACACATAGGCAGCCGCTTACTGATGGTGTTTCAAAAGCTCGTCGCTTAGCCGTCGTTTTCGCGAGATCGCAGAATGCTGACCCGCTGTGATATTTTTCATTTCAAAGTACTTATACTTTATGCTTGTCTCCTGGTGAGTAACACGTTACACAATTGCCACGTCATTTCGAGTTTTTAACGAATCCCGAATGGTGCGTGTGAAAATTTTACAGTATTTTCTTGTGACGCATTACCCGTAACTCACGATCCTACTCGTCTTTCAATTCCCATTACTATTTGTCTAAATGCCTCGTCCCGTTATCGACATTTTTCTCTCAACGTCTTCATGTCGCATAACCTATACTATAATTCTTATTATTATCATAGTAATCTTTTATTTGATTACCAAGATATAAGAGATTGGCGTTGATAAAAATATCATGCCTGTTTTATAATTAGTTGTAAAATACTAAACCAATTTAATAAAATATTGTCTCACAATATCTCAATGTTCATCATTCTCATTTATGCGATTGTCTATTGCTATAATGTTTACTATTCATTAGTTAATCGTTTATGTCTAACAGCGACAAGATTAGCTTAATGATTTAGGGTAAAGGTCATATGAAAGGAATTTGTCATATGTACTACTATCTAATATGCATTTGATATATTTATATATATAGAGCTGTCACATTATATAAATTATTATTTATGATGCAAATATTTTTAATGGAGTTAAAAAAAATATGGATATAAAAATTCCTCTTATTAGTAGCGTAAAAATATCATGTATAATATATCATAATAATTATTATAATATACTCCCATTTAACAAGCACATGCTCCAATCAAAGCTGTGAAATTGGACAGCACTTTCATTTGCTGTAAGTAAAGTGATACATATGAGGTTATGGACTTTTGCTGTATTAAAAGTATTTATGAAATTTTTTAATATATATTTATGTCTAACAGCGACAAGATTAGCTTAATGATTTAGGGTAAAGGTCATATGAAAGGAATTTATCATATGTACTACTATCTAATATATGAGGGATTCTCTTCTAAGATTAATATGCATTTGATATATTAATTTGATTTTATAACAAAGCAAACAAATATATAATACATATTTAATATTCCTATACTTCTAGATACATTTGCCAAACAATATAGCGGAAGAAATAGGCGAAGGAGCAGTTCCACTCACTCATAAGAATATTGATACAACATTAGGTAAAGGATTATATATACACATATATATATAATGTGTAATAAATGTCTTGCTGTATTAAAAGTATTTATGAAATTTTTTAATATATATTTTGTCTTTTGTAAAATATTTATTATATTTTGTACAATGTTATGTACCATGTATTTCTTTTTATATTATGTTAGGATGTTTGATACCCTGCAGTAAATTTTATAAAAAGAATAATAAATTTGATGTTTTTTTAATAATCTACTTTAATTTCAAGAATTACTTTATTCAATTTGCTTAGTTTATACTATGCAAATTGAACAATCAAATCCTATTTTTTTCAAACATTTTCAGTTGTGCGAGTGAAATAATAGATATTGTTGCTAAATAAATATCTATTGATTTTAAAATAATATGTTTAGGAATTAGTCAAACATTGCATTTATTTTTTTTAAAACTATATAAATTTTTTTACAGCTGAAAATGAACTTGTATTTATAAATTTCTATGCACAATGGTGTCGCTTCAGCAACTTACTAGCTCCAATTTTTGATAAAGCTGCAGATAAGATTAGAGCAGAATTTCCAGAACCAGGGAGAGTAGTAATGGCTAAAGTGGATTGTGACCAAGAAAGTATGTTCAAAGTGTTTTGAGGAAAGATATGGCAATTTGTGTAATTATAGTTAAGCAAGATCTAAATATTAATCTCTATATTAAATATGTTAAGCTTTATTGTCAGATATGTTCTTTTAATTAGTTGAAATATTATATGATTATATTATGTTTCAGCATCTGTGGCATCTAGGTTTCACATAAGCAAATATCCAACATTAAAAGTAATAAGAAATGGACAACCAACCAAGAGAGAGTACAGGGGTCAGCGATCAACGGAAGCATTCCAAGAATTTATCAAGAAGCAGCTAGAAGATCCTATTAGAGAATTTTTTGATTTAAAAGAACTTAATGAACTTGATGATAAAAAGCGTATGATTATCGGATATTTTGACAGAAAAGATACACCAGAATACGAATTATTCAGAAAAGTTGCCACTAATTTGAAGGACGATTGCCAGTTCCATGTTGGTTTTGGGTAAGATATATATTCGATCCGATAAAGCCCTATCCAATGATGAAGATGAAACTTATAAAGGAAGTTTGCGCGTTTATGATGAATTAAATGTATGGGCACAGGAGAAATGCGTCCCGCTTGTAAGAGAAATAACATTCGAAAATGCGGAAGAATTAACGGAAGAAGGGCTACCATTCCTTATACTATTTCATGCTCCCGATGATATAGAAAATGTCAAGTTGTACAAAGATATTGTAACTAGAACATTAATAAGCGAAAAACGTACGTTATATCATGTTCTCTCTTTTCTTATTTATGTTATTATTACTTACAAAACTTTTTAAATTATATTCTTTGTTTTTTTCAGAGAATGTCAATTTCTTAACCGCTGATGGCCTGAAATTTGCACATCCGCTACATCATTTAGGAAAAAGCACAGCAGATCTGCCATTGATTGCAATAGATAGCTTTAGACACATGTACCTGTTCAAAGATTTCAATGACATTTTTGTAGAAGGGAAACTTAAAGCTTTTCTCCAAGATTTGTATTCTGGCAAACTTCATCGTGAATTTCATTATGGTCCTGACATCACTAATAATGATATACCACAAATTACTGGAAAACAAGTGAAAACGCCTACAACACCGCCAGAGTCTGCATTCAAGAAATTGGCACCAAGCAAAAATAGGTATACAATAGTTAAGGATGAACTGTAATAAAATCAGAGTGTAGTGTGGTGCAGTGAGATTTTCGTAATTTATATACAGTTACTAATAAATTGGAAAAAGTGAGTCGCGCAGCGATTTTCTAACATTCATAATAGATATGTTTCGTAATATATTTAATATTAACATGAGTCTTCTAAAATTTCGACGAATCCGTCTTTTCTTCTCTATGACTTTTATCCTTTCCATATTTTTTGCGGGATGGATTTCACGTTTTGATTTACTCACTTGTTATTTAATAAGACAACATTATTTGAAATTGTTTGTTAACTGCCTATATAATTTTCATATCCAAGAGATACGACACATATAAAAAAAAAAATCCTCATACATTGGTGAGATCTATTGTTGGCAAAAAACAAATGATAAAGAATAAAATGTTCTTTTTCTTTTGATAAGATACTTTAGTTCTTTTGAATGCACGAATTGCCGAAAGTAGTTTTTTTTAATGACAGTAAAATGTCAAGTTTTACATCTACCAGTGTCAATAATTACGTATCAGATTTTTGTATGTATTTTATTATTATGAAGTAATCATGTAATTTAATGTCGTTATTGTTGATTTATACAATTTCGATATAAATCTGAGATGTTTTTGTATGTAGACAGGTTTAATTTACTCTATATCCCTTCTATTAAGCAGTTCTTACACAATCAATATATATTATATATATTTGATAGTAATTTGAGGCATAAATGTGTTCGAGAATGTATACATGATAGTATATATGTATGTGTGCGCATTATTATTTGGGACAATTGTTTTTGGATGAAGTATACAAGAGAGAGAGAGAGAGAGAGAAAGAGAGAGTACTTTATCTATCACATGATTGAAATAGATATTTGAAGAAGCAAAATCTCAACATGCCCTCGTAAGATACTTCTAGGATGCATTATTTGTATGAATGATGATATTGTTTTGCCAGTTAATAAAGGATTTCTAAGTCATACAAAAATTTTGTATTCATTCACATATTGATAAAAACATAGAGAGAGAGAGAGAAAGAGAAGGGGAAAGAGAGAAAGATTCTGTTCCTATCCTTTTCTATGTTTCTTGATATTTCTATCTATCAAATCTCGAGCCTTCGAACCACGACCCAAAATTTTTTTAAATGTGCATTTATATGATGAATCAGTATTGTTACAAACTTTGGTTGAACAGTTGCTAAATATATGGCCAAAAAATCATCCAACTGTCAAAACATCGAAGATCAGTATCAGTAATGGAATAATTCTAATACTTATACGAATTGGAATTATTCATTAGTGATAATGGCACTGATTTTTTGATAGTTGGATAATATTTTTGGCCATTATTTAGCAACTGTTCCATTCTGGATTAGGAACAATACAAACAATATACTGTAGGTCTCCTTCAACCTCTCCTTCCGAAAGGGAAAGTAGCGATCGAATATATTTGATGTTTCTGGCTGGATTTGAACCCGAGCCCTTTGGCGCAGAGAGCAGACACACAACTCTTTGCGCCACGATCGCACACATATTATTAATATTCATAATCAATGCATACATCATATGCATGCATGCGAAAAAAGAGGAATATTTACATGATGAGTACTACGCGTCAGTTCCAAGTAAAAGTAATTTCAAAAATAATTATAATTAATGAAGTTTTATTCTATGAATACTCTTTATACAGATTAGCAGAAATATGTAAAAAAGTGCAAAAATTAGAAAAAAATATAGCGGAATTAACGCGTAAGTGCATGAAACAAAAAAAGATAATCAAAATGAAACAAAAAAAGATAATCAAGATAAAATGCAATATAATCAAGAGGAGAATGGAAGAAAAATGGAGAAAGTTTTTGCAGTTGATAAAATAAGATTAATAGTATTTTTTTTTTTTATGATAGAGCAGTTTGTAAGAAACTTATTTTGCTCGGATAACAAAACAATGTTATAAATATAATGAATTAACAATATTTAACGCGTCTTCTAATGAGGATGTGAAAGATTTAATAAACTTCTAAGAGATAAGATTATTTTTATTAATTTATTATTTATTATATTTTATTATTAATCATAGCGTGTACATGTAATTTAAGTTCGTGCGCGCGGCTCATGAATTAGTGCAGCCAGTTCAGCTATAAAGAACAGACTTGATATCTCGTTGGTGTCTCTGGCCGCTCTGGCCTCTGGCCTCGAGCTGTTCGAGCTCGAGCACTCGAGCTTTGCAGTCGATTGTCGATCTAACCTTATTAATATATTTATGATTGTGTGTTAAACATTTTTTTGTTTCTTGCGAGCGAATTTACTATATCGTAATTACTTGTGAAAAAATATATTACTCTCTTCAGTGAATATTTAACAAACAGTAAGAAATAATGGGACGAAAGTATACTAAAAATTTGCCCCTTTGTAAGCGCCGAATATCTCGCAAAAAAGGCTGGATGAAAAGGTTTGTGTAATTTAAACAGAATTATTTTGCAATCCAATAATGAATTACAATGATGAGCGATTTTATCTCCTATAATCCACAGTAAACAAAAAATTTATATATATATATATATATCGCAACAAAATTTGGAAGAGAGTTGTACCTGTTACTGAACTTCCATCTATATCAGATTGTTTGGAACTTTTGTTCACAAGAAATAATAATACTATAAATTTATTATAAGTAATTGTTAAAAATTAATTATTACATTATTATTAATTAATACACATATAATTCTCAATTTTTAGAAATAAAAAATTGAAATAGGCAATCGATTTTATTTCTTTTAAAGCTATGTAAAATTAAGAAAAAATATAAAATACAATATATATTTGTTTTTATTATAGCAATGTCTAAAAATCTGTTCATATTTAAATGTTTTTCTAATTTTTTTTTGCAGACGGATGGCAATGCGAAAGCTAGATAAAACACAAGCTGAGAATGCCGATAATGCTGAGAAAGTAACTAATATTCAGCTTTCTATTAAATCTGTAACCGACATAAATGTGGAAGTTGAGACTGGAATCCTGCATTGTCCTAATCAAGTTAAGGAAGAAGAAATTGATAACGAGGAACTAATTGAGACATACAAAGAAGAAAGCATATACAATGAAAATGTCGGATATTACAAGGATGAGAATAATTTGGTTATAGAAAAACAGTGCTTTTTAGATAAAGAAAAGAAAATAGAAATATATGAAGAAGTATATGAAATATATGAAGAAGAAGAGAAAAGCACATACAATGAAAACCTTGAATATTGTGATGATATGAAGGATTTAATTATAGACAACAACAACTTATCAGATAGAATTAATAATATACCAAAGAACATACCTGAAGGTCGATACATAGTGGACATTGCTTACATGTGGAACAAGATCCATCAGATATTCGATAACCATGCACGGGGTATAGAATGCCAGTTCAAGTATTGGCAACTAGTAAATTTTCGTCGTCGCGGGTTATTAACACAATTATTTTTTAAATGTCAAATGTGTAAATATGAAAGTAGTATTTGGACAGAACCTATGCATCCAGAAAAATCAGATATTAATGCAGCTGCTGCAGCTGGATGTGTTGAAGTGGGCATTGGTTATACTCAGATGAGAAAACTATGTACAGCTATGAACATTAAATATATGTCTGAGTCGACTTATATAAAAAATCGGGATAATTTAAAATTTTGAATGACTGATGAGTAACTCTGTAAGTAATAGATTATGAAAAATTATTTTCTTTTTGTTTACCATTTACATAGAGTCAATCCTGCAAATTATCCATTTTTATTTGAGTTACAGCGCAGGATCACGTTATGTATATTATTATAATATTTTTAGTTTGTGTATGTGTATATGTGGGCATGTGGAGATGTTTTCTTATACATACGAAAGCTGTTGTAGCTAAGCAGGAGGAATTCGTATATATTAATGATGCTTTCAATAAATTTTAAGATTATATTAGAGAATAGAGTGCAAACCAATAAAAGAAACATGCAAGTTTTTTTTTTTTTTTTTTTTGGTTATGATAAAATTATGATAAACTTTCTAGCAATTAACATGCTATTAAATTTATTTGTTTGTATCTAAAGATTGTAATAGGAAACTATTTATGCTTTATTACTGTGTATTACATAATTCATATCTGTGTGCAGTATAAGATTAATACTTTACTACATTATTATAAAGATATTAGTTTTAGTAAGATAGAATTTATTAAGATTTTGCTCTTTAATTAATACTGTTAAAATACTTTTGCAAATGCAAGTTATGTGATTAATGATTAATAATATCAGCATAAAAATTAAAAATATTGTTAGAAAAAGATATATATTTTTAAATAAAAATATAATATGATTATGGAAATAAGATGTTTGTTTATATATAAAAGGTTATTATTAAAAACAGAATGGTGTTATATCGAAAATTAAACTATGCTTCTTATCCATTATTTATTCTAAATTAAGATTTATGTCTTTGTTAATCAATTCTGCATCTTCATTACAAAACATTAAGATTACAAGGGTAACACTGCATTATCCGAACGCTATATTATGAAAAGTGAACAATTTCGTAAAAATTAAAAATTTTGAAAATTGCAGATATATGCGTACCATTGAAAATCAAATAATATATATATGCAATATATACAAATCAAATATCTTTTTTGTCAATTTAGATACACTTTTTTATCCAACTTTCCTTCTATGATAATCTATTAGTATTAAAAATCTTTGCTCTCTGCAATATTCTTGTTTCTTAATAATAATAGATTTCCATTTTTTTCTCTACATGAAAATGATCAGTTTTTCAGTCGCTTTCTTATTTTATAATCATGTGGCAAACGAGATAATGAGAGAGTAACGAAAGAAAAGAACTCCATTTTACAGAGAAGAATTGATCTATATAAAAATTTATAGCGCGTATACAATTGTATTACATTTCAAAGAGCACAAGATGATTCTAGAATCGAAAAATATCTGTCTGATTGCTCAAATATTATGATAAAAAAGGAAATAAATAAAAATATCTTTATCACAAAATATAATAATAAATACTAGAAAAGAGCCAAGAATTAATAACATCAAAGGGATAGCGAAAGATCCAATTATGAGAACGAGTATCTATTATAAAATGGCTGTATTTATAGGGGTAACTCGATACATATATTGCATTTCACCAGTACACAGTGTTCACCACTTTTTATATATGTATATATGTCGTGTTTTAATATTATAGTATATAACGTTACACGTAACATGGTTGCGTACGTTTAACATCACATAACACACACACATACACGCACAAACAGACATACGGTACTCTTTTCTGAATCCCTGTCCTTTCTAACTTTTCTCCTGATTTTAGGATGAAACGCGAGTATAAAGTATCCATATGAAAAATCATGATCTCGCAGTTAAGAACAGATTTACAAAATAATTGAACATTTGTTCATGTTCGTTGAATGAAAATGATAAAATGAATTTGTTTGCATCATTATTCTAACTATTTAGAACAATCTTGTTTCTCAGAGTCTCGATTTTAATCGTATTAAAATATCACTATCGTATCTTCTTTCTTGTGTGTGTACATTTCATCTCCTATAACATTATTTCTTTGATTATACTCGTATAATTCGTATTTTTTGAATGAGCTCCGACAGCCAGTCTTCATCGCTTAACTATTTTAGTTTACTACAGTATTGAGTATTTTTTATTAAATTTTGATTATTGAAACCAATTTAAAATTTTAGAAATCATCGAGTGCATTTGTGTAAGATATATATTTTATGTTTGTATTATTCTTTATTAATTTATCATTATAAAATATTGTTATTGAGTAAATTTCTTCACTAATCATTAAATTATTGCAAAAAATTATAAATAAAAATAGTTATATATAATATGTTATTTAAAATTCGTTATCATATGTATTGGATGCATTCACATATAACTCTGCATATCTTCCAAAACTATAATATCTATTATTGTATACAGTAACAGATATTATTTTCTTATCCTTCTTAATACACACCGAATCCGTAATCTCTACGGACAGCCATTTTTCATTAATAATTAACTCCTTAATAATATAAATGCGAAATGGCGATTAAACGTCAGCGATTATCTCATGCGCAGCAACATGCTTGTAACCGTGCAGAATAACACATATTAACACTTAAACAGTCGCAACGAAATTTATCTTATTTTATTTATTAGTCATGTTGCAATGGTGGTAACATACATATAGCATATATCAAATCGAAAAAAAATCCGAATAAAATAAATTCATCGTCAATAAAAATTGCTAATTGTATCAAAAAAACTATTTTAATTGTACTGAAAATGCGCAACTGCTTAAATGTTAAGTGCAAACGCTTCGAATATTCGCAACAACGCGAAGTTCCAATACAAATTATTCGGAAAAGTCTCTTGCGATCTGTGGAAAACATGTCGTATAATTCGCGCGATATAACTTTAATAATACGCGACACAGTATCTATTTCGTGTGCACGAAATTAACAACAATGCGTATGCTTCCATTGCCAAATATGCTCGTACACGCATTAATTATCTATCGTCGTAAAAAATCGCGTTTAGGCCTGCTTGTCGCTTGAGAATACGTTTCGCCATATACAACGCAAAAAACTACAATATTTAGATATTTACTCTAGAAAAATAACGTTATGGACACATTCCTCGTTGCAATAATTAGTTATTACAAACACGTTTTATCTCGTTAACCTTTCTTCGATTTTTCTGAAAATATACTTATTTCGTTCACAGCACGATATAGCTCCCTCGTGTAAACATATTCGCTTTTATTGTTCCTCTTTCCCCTTACATCCTTTATTCTTCTCTTATATTGTTAGTACACGTACCCCGATTATAATCTCTAAACATATAACACATCTTGACATGTATTCTTAATTTGCTGGCTTCTTGTCTCTTTCTGGACATAATTATTTCCAATGGAAAAAGAACCCAACTGCTGAATTACTTGTAGAATTATCATTCTTTAACTAGAGAGCACCAACAACCAATTTTAAAAGAAAAAGAAAGCTAAAATAATATACTGTGATGATCTTGATTTTTCAATTTCTTTTCTATCAGGGATATCATTTGAGATAATTTAATCAATTATATAAATTGTAAATTATTTGAATAATCGCAAGTAATTATATGTAACTTTTAGATGTAACTGTGTGATATCTCTGGAAAGACAAGTAGCAGTTGAGATTTCCTTCCATCGAAGCTGCAAGGAATCGGCACCCCTATATCGGTTTCGATTTCGAGACATTTTTCTTACTGTTAGCTATACTGAATATGGAAATACACGTACATACTCTTGTCCATTAACACGGCTTATACTCGCCATAACGTTTAACAGAGTTAATGAAAGACATTTTCTTATTACAACTAGAAAGTTTGAACATCGTCGTATTTCCTGGCCGCAGGTTTTGTGGTACAACATGATTATTGCCTGCTCGCGATCCTAAATTAATTTTGCGTAGCGTGTGTTTTTAGGCGCGAATCACAAAAGAGATCTGGCTATAATACTAAAGAAAAAAAAAAAATAATAATATTGCTAATGTACAAATAGAATTGTAAAGAACGTGCGAAACTTCTCTCTCTCTCTCGAATATTAGATGATTTGAAATTGAACGCAACGAAAACTGCGTTTCACGATTCATGATGTGGAAAAAGATCTGCTCGAAAATAATTGGCGTATAAGCGGAGGAAAATATGACGCAACTTCTCAAACGACACCTACAAGGATGTAGCGTTTAAAAATGTTGCATGCCAAGCACACGATTTTCCACAATTTGCCTACGCAATTATACCCTCTATAAATCGTAAGAAAGCGGTGTCGGACCGGTATAGTACGACGAAAATCGCATAATCCTTAATGAACGGAAGATCGTGTCGCTTAGAAGCGACAGCCCTCGCAATTGTTACAACTTAGTTACACTTATTTATATAACAATTATCGTTTAATTATATTCATACATCTCTCTCTATAAGATATATAATCAGGTTCTCCCTTTCATGTATCTATCAATGTATGTATATATAATTTGATTATTACGTGTTTGCGATATTTTAACGTGTATATTTGATATTAAGTTAGCTGATAATACATCCTTGTGCCTGTTTGCTACGCTTAGGCGAATTTCGAACATCCTCAAAGCGATTCTAAGCGCTCCGAAGTCGCTCTCGTTTTTTTTTTTTTTTTAGATTGCACTCGAAATATTGATTCAAAATCGGATCAAATTCCGAAGGCTCGCAAAGCACTATAAAAGTGAATAAATTAAATACGATCTTGTTTTAGCAAATCGGAAAATAACAGTGCTGCTTCATGAGCATACATGTTCGTAAAGAGATGAAAATAAATTTGCAAAGTAAGCTATTGTATATTATAAATTTATCAGGAAACATTTATTAGTTTCAAGTAGGATCAAGCTTAAGGGAATGCGTAATTTCTTTAAATTATTTAGCATTTTTATTCGCCTTTTCTATATATTTATATATTATATAAATATTTTCTCGATTAATAACAACGAATAAATATAAATATATATAACCTTTAATATCTATAATTTTTAATCATTTACGTTTTGAAATAGAATTATTTAAATAATTTTATCTCAGTTTTAAATGTGTGTTTTAACACGAGTTATAAGACATTTCTATTCCCAACGTAGAAAGTCGATAATTTCTTTTGCGAAAATTTGTCCCTTAAGCTAGCCCTATATTGTGTGTCAATACAAAAAATATCAAGTAGAGCCAATGAGTTGATTCGCTCTGTTAATCGATGCCGCTACGTTATCACCAAGATAATACGCAATTTCATCCAAACGTCGGACGAAGCAAAACGTCAATAATTTTTTTGATCAAGTAACGTTATAAATAAGTCTCGAGATTTCTACGATTCCTACAATTTTCATCTATAACTACATCGGGTAGCTTGTCGGTTCTCTGCTCAATGTCTGGCTCGCAGACAGCGATCGACGATAAAAGCGAGTAGAATAATAACGGAGAAGAGTCTCGATTAATTATACGTCGGAGAAGGAAGACTCACGTACCTTTACTTCTGGAGGGCAACACTAAAACGTACAGGGTGTCCTAAGGGATATAACGAAAATACGTATACTCGATCGATTCCGCATCGCTGTTTACAAAAATGCATTTAAAATTCCATTTCCAAGACATCCTGTACGTAGGCGATACTTAACGGCAGGCCTGCGAACAATCAATATCGTTTGTCGCACCCGAGCTTCCAGCTCGCAAAATAATTTGATAGAATATATGCAACTTGTATTATGCGTATATATAATAGTATAATACAATGTAATATATATATAGGGTGTATCCCAAGCATCTTACACTTTTTTAGATTTCAGTATATTATTTGATATAG